AAGTCCATATTGGGTCTCCTCAAATGTTCATTTTATAAAAAATTATTTACAAATTTATTAAGAAAAATAATTGATTATTTATTGACCAGAAATACTATATTTGTTGAGATGCATTTCTAAAAAGATTAATAGAAAAATGGAGGATTAAGAGCATGTGGTGTATAATTTTTTAATAACATGCATTGTATTTTCGAGGGGTTTGGATTGATTTCATAGGTTATATTATTTATGCCAATAATTTGTAGTATTTTACTAATCATAACTCTTATAAAAATTAAATTGTTGTTATTAATAGAACTAAAATTTGTTATAGTATGGGCGCTTGAAGATTACTTGTATGACACATTTTGTCTAAGATCAGCTCATGAATAAATTTCTAGTGCAACATAATGACCATACAACTCATGGAGAGAGATTAAACTAGTGCCAAGATTTACAGTTTGTGACTAGATAATGATAATTATATACAGAATTTAAAAAAAATATATTAAATTGAATTCAATAAGAAAGAAATCTATATATTATATCTAGTTCATTAGTGATTAATTTTGCTTCTTTTAAGATATTCAATAATATATATGTTTTTATCATGAAGAATTATCCATGTGAAGTTATCATTGTCTGAGTTTGGGAAATTGTTGTGAAGATAGTGTGAATGATTCTTAAAGCTTTTAAAGAACTCTCAAGACCTATAACATAAGAGAAAATTTCTTTGTAGAGTGAGGATAAGATTAACACTAGTAACATTTCGTCTTTTGAAACTAAATATTGGAATTTTACAAGTTGAATTTTCAAGAGAATATATAGTTTTTTTGTGGTTTATAAGATTTGTTGATAAAATCGTGAAGCTTTTGATAGTTGAAGATGGGTAAAAATTATATTTTTCAAAAAATGTGGTTATTAGAAGTTAGTTCTACGAAAATGATATAATGATGAGATAATTGTTGTAATAGAATAGTGGGTAATGGAGAAATTGACAATTGTGACATCAGATTTGAGGTTGCAAAATATGAATAACTGAACTTTTTTATTACGGTCTGATACTATGAAAGAAATATTTAAAAATTTTCTAATTATAATTTTTCTTAATGAGTTCGTGTATTTATATCCTCATATGTTAAGTTTAAATGTAACGCAAATGTTAGAGTTATGATAAAATAAGACACAAATTAATAATTTAAGTATGAATATCAAAGTCATATATAATTAAATTAAAAAAATAAATAAAACTGTATGTTGTTCTATTCGACTTTGATTCTGTTTTCGATTTTTGATTAATATATATCATTTAACAATTATGTAATTAACTTTTTAAAATTAACACAAGTTTATAGATTTTAGTCTTTCATCTTCCTCACAACTATGTGATGAAAAATGAAAAGTGAACAAAACTAGTAGAGTATTAGTGTCTAAATTCATTATCTTTGGAAGAAGAAAATGAATATTTATAATATTTTGAGACACAGTTAAAACAATCAGAATAACTTTTAAATTATGATTAATATGTTCTAAATAATGTATAATTTTACTAATTAAGTAAAAAATTAACTTTAATCGATTGTTCTTATCATAATAAATTTTTAATGTTCATATACATATATATATATTTTTTTTATGTAGATAAGAGTTCGGGATGATCAAAATTTAGGAAAATATTGGTGTTTGCTTTAGTAAAATGAGAATTTACCTATTTTCCTCAAATTCCTAGGTTTAGATATTTCAGTATTTTTTAACCATAAATTTTTTAAGGCAAATTATGTAGGAGATGATCATAGAACTTCGTTACTATATGTGCAAGAATCAACATGGTAAACATTAAGCTTTACCAAAAAAATGCTACTCAAAATTGTTAATGTAAGACATAAAAAAGTTTATAAATTTGCATGAGACATATAGCCCAGGCAGTATATCTATAGATTATCTCATCGATCATAACCCATTCAGGAATAAAGATAGTGAAACTAAGAAGTTAAGTTTGCACAGCAACCTAGAATACTTTTTCAAGACTTGAGTTCATTTGACAAAGTATCTTTTGGGTATCAATCTCTAATTTCATTTCCTTCATTTTTTATCTTTACCGTAAGAGTAACGAGAAAAAGAAAAGAAGAATCACTTAGATTTCAAATAAAACTAAAAGAATTCATTATACTACCATTTTCTTTTCAGGAGAATTTGTACTAATTTCATTAACTAATGTCAACTAATGAACTTGATAGATACATCTTCATTTCCCAGATTGGGATGATACTTTTTTCAATGTTTTTTCAATTTAAGTAATCATATATGTTCCAGCTTTAATCAACTACAATAGCTGATGTTATAGGGTAAAAGAACATCTAACAATTAAATCACCCAACCAAAATCAAAACAAGAAGTTAAGGAAGAAATTCACTAAATCCATAGGCATTCATAAAATTTAATTCATCATCAACAAGCCGATACAAAACGTTCACCCCAAAAGGAAGCAAATATCCATACTATAAGAAAATTCTCTAGAAAAAAATCAACATTGCATAATGTTAACGCGGAAACTTTGATTCCTACCACTTCAGCCGCATCCTCCGCTGTCCACAAATATTATAAAGGGGAAAAATAATTAAAATCGTATAAAAGCAATTCCTTCTACACATAATTCCAACCAGTTTTGAAATAATCGGAGACAGAAAACTAAATCATTGATCAGAAAAAGAGGAAAAAAGAACAAAAAAGTTATCTAATGAACAATATAGCAGGAAGTAACAAGGAGACTTCATTCAAAATCACATGTTTCTCAAAAATTGATCTCAACAGAAATCAATTCCAACATATACTAGCTCTTATAAACATTCATCAAGCCTTACATGTGCATAACTAACTCATATAAGAAGAAATATTTACTGATTTACCATCTGTATCCATCTTAGATTGTTGACTCTCTTGACGACTAAGGATTTGCATTCAGCAAGTTATTTGAAGCATTGTTAGCATCAGCATCTGGGACCTATCCCATATATGAAAAGAAATTAATAACAAAAATAACCACTTTCATTGAACTTCTTCAAGCACATTAGAAGTTAGAACTAATCTTGTACCTCTCCCTCATTAATCATGCGACTTAATCTTGAAAGAAGCTCTGGATTTGCATTTGGCATCCTATTTGAAATCAATTGTAACACCCCCCTTACAACTTCTTTCAATATACGAATATCTGCTTTCAATCTTTCAATATCTTCATCCAATCTTTCAATCTCTCCTCCAATCTCTTCATCATGTTGATGAGAGTAAGATAATGAAGGATTCACTCTTTGTAAAGATGGAGTCATACCCACACAGTGCACTCGCCCTGTCTTTGCAGGTCTTTCGACTTGGGAGTATAAATCACCTCCCCAAGAAGATCCCTTTGAATTTCCGTAATTACCATCACAAATGCCTTTTCCCTATAGAGACCAAACATTAATCCATTCAAAATATACATCATAGAGAGTTAGCATTTATTTAGAACACAAGTCGGAAAATTTACATTATGCATACCATACCGAAGTTGACTGCTCACTAACAACACTCAACTTTAGGTGTGTAATTAAATGCATCAAAGATTAGAATTTATGTCAAACCATATTTAAAAAGAAAAATAAAAGAAATACTTTCACCTTTTCCGCCATACTCTTAGGAGAGGATTTTGCTTTTGAGCAACAAGGCTCATCTAATTTCGTTCCATTTGATTCAGTAGCCACAAGTATTGGACCTTGAACCATTTTAAGTTGGTGAGAGGCACCAGATAAAAACAATTACGTGTTAGAAACAAAATATATTTACAGCAAGGTAAAAGACTGAAAATTGATCTCATAATCAAGAGATACCTATAGCACATTGGTCCTCTGGATGTGCATCATGCGTTACTCTTTCATCTTGATTTTCTGCATGCAAAGGATAAGATTAGAACATCCAGTTGCATTCTTGAGATTGTAAGGTGGGTGAAAAGCTAAGACAACCTTCTTCATGTTGATCATTTTCAAACTGCAGATGCTGTTTAAATTCAGATTCTTGTTGTTCAGCTTGCGGTTGCACATGCAAATTAGAGTGGCCCCTTGTGATATTGACCCGTTTTCGCTTTGCCATCTTAGAGAATATATATACACATAACATTATGTTAATATGAGAAATATAAGAGCTAAATGAAGGAATTATTATTTCTATATCGAAATCAACTTCAAATAGCTTTCAGTAGAAGAAGTGCACCACGAAGACATGTGGCCAAACACCTAAATAATGATAGGGAATAAAACACCGCCAAAATAAATTATAATGTCTTATTAATTTAATGTGATATGAAAAAGTTCAGTAAATTTCCAATTTTAAACTACTCATCTCACAAATAAATCTCCTCACATTTACTTAAAGAGCTAAAAAGTAAAATTTCATTGCATGATGCTATAAGAAAGTGCAGGATATTTTATGCAATTGCCGAATGTCATCCACTTCATTTTTCATTACCTCAATTACAGCACTGCAAAAACTGAATCCTTCTTCAATCTCAACATTGTCCAAATACCCTCTATCACAAATTCATGCACATTTAATTGACCTCCTAATGCTCCACAGACCCTGGTACCAATAATAAATCATAATACTTGAAGATATAAATATGCTCAGCTCCTGATATACACAAACAGCTAAGTAAAACTATTAAACATCCTAGCCCAAAAACTTTCCATAAAAAGGAACCCAAGAATAACAATATAAATCTCATACCCTCACAATACAAGGAAAAGAAAAAGAACAATAGGACCTTTTTATAGCCACACAAACTGAAAGGGTCCACAAATTTAATAAGTATCCCGTTCTGAAGATAGTTCTTTGAAACATGCTTCTTTAGTTCTCTAGTCGACAAGTAGAGACAAAAACCAATATCATTTGGAAAATACAAACCTTTTTAGACAGCTTCCGAATTTTGAGCCAAAATCCAAAATATAAACATCCTTTCTTAAAATTAAAGAACACATCTTTCTCTACCAAAAACTTTTCTCTCTGGTCCTTACAAAAAAAAAAAAAAAAGATCTCTGTCTCTATTTTTTTTTGAAAGAAAAGTGTGAAGTTGTATTGATGTAAGGTGCAAAGGGAGCACCACCCATTTGCAAAATTTACATCTCAATTAGAATATCTACAATGTCACCAAGATCCTCAAAAAAGTCGAGATTACCCCCAAGTAAGTTAGAACCAAAGTAGTGAAACCAGTTATCTATGATTTTGTTTCTTTTTTTTCCAAATGACCCAAAAAATGGTGAGGAGAATAAGTCTAATGGATTTATTGTTGCTGCCAAGACCCTCCCAAGCTATTAATTCAGCACAAACGTTGCCAGCCATAACCCAAGAAGTTCCCAACAATCCAAGAATCATACTCCAGAGTTTATGCACGATTGGGCAACTCAAAAGAAGGTGGTTGAAATATTCCAAAGCATTTTTACACAAAAAACATCTGTTGGCAGTTGTGTGACCTCTTTTCATCAAGTTCTCCAAGGTAAGGATCTTCTCCTTTGCTGCCTCCCATGCAAAGAAAGAAATCCTTGGGGTAGCGCCAAAATTCCAGATGATTTTGGAAGGAAAGGTTCTTGGAACTATGCTGATGGTGACCATCGAAAAAACAGAACAGTGAGTCGACAGAGAAGAGACTGTTTTTCTTGAGATTCCACAATAATTTATCGTCTCTGTTAGTGAGATTAATACTGGCCAAGGTAGAAAGTATAGATTCGTATTGTTCAAGCTCCCAATCATTAAGATTCCTTGCGACCGGGACATTCCATGAAAAGCTGCCATCAAAACCAGCAGCTTCCCTTACATTAACAGCTTTGTTTGTAGCAATGGAATAGATAAGAGGGAATCTGTCCATGAGTTTGATCTCACATGAAGAATATTCCCTCGTTCTCATTTGATCTCACATGCTACCTCTTCTGTCTCTCATACTTACAAATCTAAGTCTATTATGGAATTTTCTTGTATTACCAAATTATGCCTTTTAGACTGTATTTTTTTCCTACTCTGCACTTCTCTACTGGGATTTTATAGTTAGATTTTACATAGCAAGTGCATGTTCTGGATCTGCTTACATGTTTTCGATGTTAAGCTCCTACTTATTAACGTTGTTTCTCGTTCTCATTAATCATCATGATTGCAATTAATGCCTAAAAAGAAAAAGCACCAAACCAAGTGAAACAACAAGTGTTTACAACTGCAAGACCTTTTTGTCACTAAGTTGAAAGTCGATAAAGAGAAAAACAAGATCAACAACTTAGCAATAATTGAGTCAACCGTGATTGAGCTGTTGACAAGTCTCAATGAAGTGCAAGAAATTTGAAATTAGAAGTTTAGGAATAAGAGCTTGTTAGATGAAGCCTTCACACATGCCTCTTACCCTGAAAACAAGTTTTTCC